ATCAAAAAATCAATGGCGGCCCGATTCTATAGGCATGCGCGCGAGCTCATTTAAGGCAACGTCTTGTTTTAAACCTCCTTTAGAAGGATAGCGGTCAATTTTAATTCCTAATTTCAGAAACCGAGCTTCTTCGCCTTCCCTGTCAAAAAACGTTCTGGGATGTAAAAAGCTGCTTAAAATAACTGAGTTTTCGAGCTCAAATTATGCAGTTCTTTTGAATGGGGGAAGTTGACGTAGCTGTAAACGAGCGGGATCGAGCAGTGCGAGAGGCTGATTAGGCGCATCGGCATGTGGAAAGAAGCATTAAACATAAATGCATGATTATGCCTAACTTTGAACATTTGCTGATCTAGTTTTTGAGAGAGGAGAACCTGACAGTTCAAAGCGCATTTTCAAAACTGTGCACAGTCATCGTTAACAAGTCATGCACGAGTCAACTACACTGTAGGTGTTTCCCTTTGCAGTACCTAAACCAACAATGGTGGACGTTGATTTTATAGTGTTATTCGAGAAAGGAATAAAAACAGCAGTACTCATTTTGTTAAAACCTCGAACAAGAAGGAACAACTGAAAACACACACTTCTACAACAACTCTCAACAGTATCACTCCATTTGTGATGTATCAAAATGATCTACATTAAGCTCACTTCAATGTTTGCTAATGCATTTCATGCTACGAAATTTTTGTAGCAGTACCACATTGGTCAACGAATAAGGACACTTTCTGTGCGCATTTAGACTATTGGATTCAATAGCTTTAAATCTGTCAACTATAAGCGCAGTCCCTGCTTGGAAAGCCTATAGTATGCTGTCAAAGGGTATGAAGCACATTTATAACAAGACTGGCAACAGGTATATTTGGCTAGATTAGATGGCTAACATGCACAGACAAAAACTGTCAAGAAGGCATAGCAGGAAAAGTGCAAAGAAGCAACCCGTCCAAAGATCATTTGTAATAGAGTGACTACTAAATGTCAACTTACTTCTTCGAAAAACGTCTGTGTCTTTCTGAGTATGTGCTTCAATTCTGTCAACTCTGAAAAATTTTTCTTGAGAGTCTCTTCGTTCCTATTTACTTCGCGAAGTTCGTTCTCCAGTTTTTCAAAAATAGCCTAAAATCAAAAGAAATGCAAAATTTTGGAAACTGCAGGGTAAATACAAAATCAACAAACCTCAAGATCAATCATCTCACGAGGTTGTGGAGCATCTGGATTTTCTCCTGTGTCCAACATAGGTATCTGATCCTTCTTAATCTCCCTCTCGAGGTATCCTCAACACAGGTTTATTACACGTCTATATTAAACGCTAGCATAACCTACTTTAGTGAACCAACATGGAAAAATTTCTCTGCACCATAAGCCTGAGATATACCTTATCCATGTCCACCTTTTTTTTCCCGCTTCCAAACAAGAGAATATTCAAATGGAATTCTACCTAGAGAACGAACTGCTCGATTTTTACAATAATCCTAATAAAGAACGCGGCAACAAACAACGCAGAATAGCCCAACTTTACAGCAATAGCTATATGGGAACTTTACAGTAAAATTAAAATGATAACTTCTCTAGTGTGATGCGGCGTCAATAAATGACGCTACCC